TTTCTACAGTGATTTACACCACAAAGAACTTGTACTGGCGATTTCTCCCTAGAAAAGAGAAATAAAATAAAGTACCATAATCACCTGATCTGAGTTTCAATCAAATTTATGTCAGAACTATTAGTAACTTTTACTTACTGTTTTGCAGGCTGCAATGGAAAATCTTCTCCAGGTGGTAAAGATATTGAACTTCCTTCAAGTGTTAAACGATATGTAACTAAGGGAACTTGCCTTCTAGAAGGTTTTCCTTTACTAATAACTTTAGAAGCTTTAGATTCCTGTTTTTTTAGTAACCTTTCCATTGTTTTTTTCTATGACATGAAAAGAATAATTTACTAAAAAATTATAATGGAAAACAAAAGTTTAAAGTTTTGCAGGCTGCAATGGAAAATCTTCTCCAGGTGGTAAAGATATTGAACTTCCTTCAAGTGTTAAACGATATGTAACTAAGGGAACTTGCCTTCTAGAAGGTTTTCCTTTACTAATAACTTTAGAAGCTTTAGATTCCTGTTTTTTTAGTAACCTTTCCATTGTTTTTTTCTATGACATGAAAAGAATAATTTACTAAAAAATAATAATGGAAAACAAAAGTTTAAAATTTTAATATTAACAATTGCTCCACCTTATCTTTTTCTCTTTTTTCATCAGCAAGCTGTTTTCTTTTTAATGATTTAAGTGCAGCTTTTTGTATTGCTTCAGCTGTCATAACTTTTTCTTTGTATCCAGTTGGTAAAGACATAAGTTGTTCTACAGCTGGATTTGGCTCTGTATCTGTCTTTCTTTCAAACATAGCTCTTTGACGAGCAGTCATTAGTTTTGGGTCTTTTGGTTTGATTTTCTTTAATTCATCATCAACCTGTAACAAAATATGTTTAGTTAATATAAAACAGAAATTATTTGTAAGAAAACGAATATTATAACTATTATTTTTAATGATTTACCTCTTCAAGTTTTCCAGACTCTATTGCATCAAGCCATCGTTCTTCTTCACTACTAGTACCGCTATCTTTACCTTTATTACCTTTTGGAATTTTTTTCTTTGTTGCAGCTTTTGGTGATGGTGCAGTACTTGCACCTGCAATGCTAAGATTAGATGTCTTCTGCACTTTCTCACGTGGTTTCTCTGAACTACAAAAAGTATTAATAAATAATTTTATTATTCATGACATAGTACAAGATTACATTTAATTTACTGCTTATTTATATTCTATTTACCTCTTATCATCATCTTTCTTCATTTTAACTCTAAATGTTTTCTTTTTCTCTGTTTCTACAGTAATATCATTAAAACCATCATTACCATCATATGTAGCTTTTTTCTTTTTATGTTTTTTATGTTTATGTCTTTTATGACGTTTTTGAGGGGATATCTCATTAGTTTCTGGAAAATAAATAATACACAAGTGTAGAAATTATTAAAAGGTAAGTAGAAGCAGACAAACATATATAAGGATTTTTAAATTTTGCGCGATATATATTTTCATAAAGCGCCATTGCATTGTGGTGCTGAAATCACTTTACTAAGCTAACCATCTCAGAAGTACTACAATAACCCCAGCGACGGAAAAAAAGAAAAAATTCATAAATATCATTGTTAATAGAATAAATCAAAGAAATATTAATCTTTTAACATATATAAACTCATACCTAAAGTCACATCTTCATCTGAGCTTGCATCTTTCGTTTTACCCATTTTATTGAAAGTCCAAGCTGCTTAAAACAGCGTAGGGACCCAACGCGTGCTGGTGGTTTAAATGCAACTTACATTTAGTCTTGCAATTAATACATTGGTATAAAAACTATAATGTTGGTAAACATGAAATACAAAATTAAAAATTATTTTCGTAAGTAGGATTTATAAATAATTCTCCTCAAATATGATAT